ATGATTCACCTCCCCGACAATCTGAGCTCACATCGACTGGCACAAGGACAGACCCTCGCCCAGATCTTTGGTACTGGATCACTGAAAGATCAAAGCTTGCAGGTAGAAAATGACTATTTATTTTACAAGGATTTTGACTGGCTTGAATCCAATCTTGAAGAAATTAATTGGAAAAGAAGCCTGTAAGTAATATATATTTCACTTTACTTTTTAGAGCTTTCATAAAAAATGGGAAAAACAAAAGGGCTAAACAGTTAGCTAACTAAATTTGCAGGTTGGCCCAACAATGTATGATGAATATCAAAGGTCAGAGTATGTGGCAGTTTTAAGTCAAGCAACTTTTGTTTCCCATATTGATTTTTCATGATTTCATAACTTCTTGTGCTGTATCCTGAATTACAAGATGCTGTTTAAGTACTGCTTGCAACAGAAAAATACGACACATTTGTCATTACACAAAAGTGTATCCAAAAAAGTCACCAATAGTAATTTTGTCATTGTTCTCTTTTTTCTAAAATATCAGTGCACTTGGAATATGAAAGAACTTTATGTATATTGACCCATTTTTGACTTATACATGCCCTCCCATGGATTTCAACAAAAGCTGATTGGGCATAACAGAATTTTGCTTTATTTTCACTTAAGCAGATTCTAAATATGTAGAAGATAAATTATAAATTTTCTTTGTTGCACTGGAATTAGCAGTGTCATCAGACTGGTAGCAATATAGTTTCTAAAAATTGGAAGATGAACAATTATTTTTTCTAACTTAACTTCCTGAAAAGGTATTTAAATCATTATCTGAGGTGTGTGTGAGTGCCAAAAATCATGCTGTATGAAATACTGAGAAAAAAGATGTCAAAATGCTAAGGCATAATGAAATTATGCATTGGAGTTAGAATACCTGATTCTCTTTTTAAAAGCAATGTTTTACTGCATTCAAATAAAGCCTTTTGAAAAGTCTCTGTATAAAAAGAAGTATTATTATAATGAAAACTGGCTTGGTACATTAGAAAAAAATTTGATAGAGAAATGTCAAGATGATTTTACTTTTAGAACCGAAGTGTTTTCACTTGGCTCAACTCAGCTTGACCTGTATGCACTGAATGTACCTGTGATGCCTGTGCTGCCCAAATACTGTCTTTCAGGTGTCTCTTGCTTACTTCTCTGGGGTTGTACTCCAGCATTAATCTATAGCTCCTCTGAAGCGCTGTTTAAAGAGTTGCAGGACAGAAGGGTATCATGGCAAAGGCTGTCTAAAGAGAGAGAACAATGCAGAGGATGGTGGCTTGAGGAAATTGTACTACAATTCTTGTGAGATCTCACACAAGTTTCTGCCTGACAAGCTAAACCCAAGTATCTTAGTCAATTTGGCACAGGAAGTACTTTTATCCTGGGATGCCCTGACTTTCTAAATCAACATCTTTTGTTTCAATTTTTTTTTTTTCTGAAAGAGAATTAAAACTAGAATTTTCCTGCCCAAACCCAGTTTTAAAGGAACCACATTTCCCACTGATAAATTGAAAAAAAAATAAAATCCTGAGCCACTCTACATAAAACATGATGTTCCAAATGATCATTTATTATATCTTTCAATGCCATTCAGAAATCATTACAAATTCCTCATATTTTTATTTATGAAAACACAATAACACTGTAATATTAATTGTATATTAAATAGACTGAAAATGATGCATTTGGTTACTCAATGAAGAGGAGCATTTGAATTAGGCAGTTATGTTAATTCAAGCACAACAGTAGACTTTTTAGATTTTTTGCTTAAATTGTGTGGTCTTTTCATATCACAAGTAGTAGGTGCTGCTCACAGTAGTTTAAATGTCTTATTTATTACTACAAAGTCAGGACTGAGTAAAATGAATTGAAACCTGCATTTCAAATTCAGACAGTGTTCCCAAGATAGAAATCTAATGAGACTCCCATCTTGCGGCTCTATTTTGTTCCATGGCAGGATACCTTTCATGATGCCAAGATCTCAATGAGCCTGTGTAAAATTACAGGATCCTACTTTACAAAACCCAGGTAACAGAATAAAGCCATAAACTCAGTGTTGCACACTGCTGACACTTAAATAAGAGTTTTTTGCTTGAATGGTTTAGAGTAGGATTAATATCACTACTCAAAGTTGTCTTTCCTGAAAACCATTCATTCTTCATTATTAAACAAGATGATTAAAGGTAGACTGCAAGCAGGCTTCTAAATTACAGCTGAAGTAAAAGAAACAAAACTAATGTCTGTTAGCCAGGGTTAAACTATATGCAATTTTTTAAGAATAAAGCTAGAAAGAGAATTTGTGCATAATTTTAAATTAACTGAGTATTTGTTCGTATCTTCAGACACATTTTTCTTCCACAGTTTGCAGTAACCTAAAACTGTCTATGTCACTAAGGAAATAATTTTAAGAGTTTGTAAAAAATTACACAGCAGTAGAAATTAATATTCAGAAGTGCACTGCAAATGTGCTGAGAGATAATGTGATTGCTGTTTGATGTGAGACACCAATATTAAAATATTAAGAAGAAATTGTATTAAATGATGTGCTATTTATCATTAAAAAGTTTTAAAAGATAGTACTAGAAGTAGACAACCACTACATAACCAAAAGCTGTACTTTGAAAGAACATTTTTTTCTCTATTAATTCTTCCCCTTTCTATTTCTAGACATGCAAGAGACCACAGTTGGTTCAGACACTCATACTTTGCACAGCATTCCTGTTCGAGAGAGTCACAAAGGATTCAGCATGTGCTTCTGAAGACTAAATATTACTTTGAAGCACAATAAGGAAAAATATTTCTGATTCGCATAAGGTGATTATCGAAATATTTACAAAATAATTCATATTTTTACATTAAAAATATATATATCTAATGAGCTTTGGCTATATTGCATAGGCTTTCTAAATGTCCAGAGAGTCATACATATTTCAACTATTTGCTTTTATATGTAAATAGGTGGTTAGCAAAATGAAAGGGAGTTTGCCAGCATTTTAGTGAATTTCAGCACAAATTCTCCAGATGTAAAAGGATATAGCTTTATATGTTAGTATCTATTTTCCTTCTTTAAAGAATGGTTCCAGAAACCATACTTCCAGTTGGTACATAACATATAGGAGATGCTAATCCCACTGAAGTCAATGCAGTTTTAATGATACTTAAGGTAATCAAGGCTGCAGGTTGAAGTAAAAATAGCAATACTTCAGATATTATGGGGAGAACATATGGCATGCTCAGTTGCTTCAGAAAATAACTTTAAGCCGTGGAAGGGACCCTTTCTTGAGGTAGCCTTGGGTTTGATCATGACTCCAGGGAATTACTGGATTTAATGGCTGTGGCATTGTCGCAGAGGCACTGCAGGTTGTCTTTGACAGTGGATCTAGTAGCATTTCTGAAAGCATCTTTTATAAAGCTTTTTTCTGGTATTAGACTCAGAAGCTTGTCATCCAGTACTTCTGAGAGGAGTTAATCTGGTTATGCAACTGGAAGTTCCTTCTCCATTTTATAGAGTGGGAGGATCACAGACAACTCTTAAACTTTTCCCTAACCTATCCATCAAAGCTGAAGAAGCAAAATTTGAGGGAAAACTACTGATTTGGTGGTCTAGCAAAAAAAGCTAGTCCCTCTGTATAACTCTATTCTATTTACACTGAAGCAATGTTGCGTACACTATGGTTACTATACATATGATACAGAAGTAAAATGAGATAGATACTCTATTTCAGTATTTTGCTGCTTCAGATCATATTCTAAGCCATGTTAAAGTATTATTAGAATAACAGAGTCCAGTAGAGATGTTTTGTGGGAAAATAAAAGCCAGATTTAATTAAGACTATAGAATCATAAAGACTTTTTCAATGAACACATTCAAATAAAATTTCAAAATATCAATGCAAAATACATTGACATATCAAATAACAATTCTCCACATTGCTTCTTAGCAAATATATATTGCTCCCAAGTGTTTTTTCCTTTCATAAAGGACTTCAGTTACCAGTGTGAGTGATACAATACTTGCTATTACCTCCCCACATCACAAAGCTTCAGAGAGTGTATTTTCTTGTCAGTATTAGAGAAGAGCAATATACTTGCAGAGTATATTATAGCCCTCTTAATATAACCTGACATTGGAGACTTAAATGGTAGTCATAGTTTGGCACAAAAATCTGACTAAGAGCTCCTGGTTGTCACTGAAGTCCTTTTAGATCTCAGTAAAGCTGTAATTGTAATGGAGAAAAGATGAAGCCAACATCTTCTTGGGTGACAGTGTCAACACAGCAGTGCCGGCTGTGGTGAATTGCTGGTCAGGCTCCTTACCATGAGGGTAGCACCATGGCAGGGCATGGCAGAGTGTTTGTTTTACTGAGAACTAAAGAAAGCCATGAAAACATATTGTGTTTATATGATTATTATTTATAACTATTGCTGGTGATGGGAGAAGTAATTGAAAGTGCCGTTTTGTAGCGCTCCTTGAATTACATGCAAAGTCATGCATTTGAAAGTGCTTATTTAGTCTTGAGTTGACTAATTATTAATTACATTCTTCTCCTGTCTTGTCAGTGAGGAGCTATAAACCCAAACCTACTTCTTGTGGGAGATCACTCAGCAGTACACTATTTTAACAATTTTTTATATATGATATGATATTAGTTCATGCTGATATGGTATGCACACAAGGATCCCCTCTCACTGCTCCACTCAGTAATCAGACCTCTCTCCAAAAGCATTAGTATCTGTTTGTATGCTTGTAGTGCTTGGTGGAGAGAAAGAAATAAATTTAAAGCTAACAACAATTTTCCCTTCACTGATAAAGTCCTGCATTTGACCTTCAGATGGGGTACCCTTCAGAGATCCTCAGACAAGTAGGAATCCCTGAAACTTTAGCACTATTTTCTAGTTATAAATAATAACAATATTCTTGGTGGGTGGTAACTAACGAGTGTTGGTGCAAATGGTGATTTCGACAGGAAGGGGCACCGGCAGAGGTCTTACTGACTGGAGTACTGCACAGTGCTGTACTTTGTCACTCTTCTCCGAGAGGTGCCGGGGGATACTGTGCCCATTGCCTGGCCAAGGTGAGAGTCAGCGCTGAGCATCTGACCTGTGCTGCTCAGCCCCCCGAGATTTGCCCCTCCTAGGCTTGTTCCCCCCAGGCTGCTCATCCCAGACCCTGACACTACCCTCTCGGTGACCACCACATTGTGGGCATTCGATAACTCCGAGGGAATATTTATTAAGCTGCCTGGCATGCCGGAGGTGGGCCTGAACACCCTTTCTGTCACCACCACATTCGAACCGTCTACCAAATCAGGAATGCTCAGAGAGGTTGGGAGCCGGGAGTTAGGTGCAATTACTCTTTCTGTGACAATAACGTTGGACCCATCTGTGAGATCTGGGATATCGAGCATGCTGCGCAACTCAGAGGCAGACGCAGGACCAACAACCCTTTCTGTTACAACAACGTTGGATGCACGCAGAGGGTCAACGCAGAGAGAGGGGGAGCCAGAGGTGTAGGTCTCGGTCACCGTCATGTTGCCGTGAAGCAAAGGATCTGGCATCGGCCTTGGAGGCTGTACGGTTGACCCAGATGTGTAGGTGTTTTCGGTAACAACCGTTGTTGTGCCAACTGGTGGAGGCATAGGTGCAGATCCATTGACAATGATGGTGGTTCCAGGTGGTGGGAGGTTTAGATCACTTTCAGGGTTGGGAAAGGCGACGTTAACGCATGGCCAAGGCGGGTTGACATCAGGGAAAGGTTCGATCTCTTTGCCCAGACAGATCTCTGCCAAGGTCTTAAATTTTGGTCCTAATGTATCCAAATACGTTTCATCTGTATCCTCTCCAATAAAGCTGCAGCAACCCACAGAGCCAACAGGGGTACCGACCCCTTCATGATCATATATTAACAGGCAGTCATTTGCTGGCCGACCTTCGTCTTCATCTGCATACACGAATGCTTTCTGTAGTTTGCAAAAACAGGAAAAAAAAGAGAACAAATTGACTTTTCAACAGGTTTTACACCATGAAGACTCAAGATGTAGTAAGGGTTCCTTAACCACACTAAGGCCCAGCTGACCTGAAAAAGAGAACGTCAACTGGACAAATTATATCCTCAGCGTTTTTTGTGACCTTGAAATAAGTTTTATTCAAATGTTCATGATATTTTATTCTTGTTACTGCACACACTTAGCATCTCAAATTTGGTCTGCCATCACTGGGTCTGACTGTGGGGTGAATGGAGAGAGCGAAAGGGATGTGGGAACGAATGTACTCTTTGGGCAGCAACATCTGGATGAAGCAGTGGGAAGAGGAGTGAAGCAGGATGGTGAGGGGAACAGTGGAGAGGCCAGGACAGAGGAGATGGGATGGAGGGCTGGCTGCAGAGAGGAAGGCTTAGTGAGCCAAGAGAGGAATCAATTTTGAGCAGTTTGGAGATCACTGATTTGTGGTGGCCTTGGGGATGGTAGGGTGGTGAGTGCAGAGGGATTGGGTAGGAAAGAGAAGAGTTTAAAATGAGTGAGAGGTGATGCTGGAGGAAGCAGGTAAGGACAGAAGAGGAGGTCCAGGAGGGAGAGGCAGAGGATTTGGAAATTGAGATGGCCAGGAGGAGGGGTAATCTGTGGGGGCTTAGGGAGATTCCAGTCTGAGAGAAGTCCATGCTCAGGACTTCAGGACTGCTCAGTCCTCTCCTCCACTGAATCTTGTTAGGATTTTGAACTACAGCAATCCTTACATATTAATTGATATTTTGGTGATGTATGCAGTTATAGCATTTATGCCTCACAGTTCATGCTAATTTTGAAAATATATCCCATTAATCCTTTAATCATGTAAACTCTGTAGTGTTTTTTATCCTATGTGTAAAGGCTACTTAATATGTTGCCAATTACAAAACTGCGTATTTGTGTCACTTGCAATTCACGAATCTTTTAGGGAACAGAAATGGCAATGGAAATAAGGAAGAAAGTGGAGTTCACAGTTCTTTAAGGGTTGAAGTCATGTCATTAAAAAAGCTGTACAGAAAGTACATATCAACAATTTCACAAAGTTATTATCTATTCATACACTGAAAAAGGTTGCAAATATATAAATTTGGTGGTCATTTATGAAGCTGAAATAATTTGATTGCTTGCTTCCATCAGTTTTACGGAAAGTCTGGTGAGCCATCAAATCTACTATGCCAGCAGCTCAAGATCTGTACTATTAGTGTTGTAGTTTTTCCTGCTAGCATGGTCAGTTTTGCTCACACCAGTCTTAAATCATAAAAGTTTCAATTTGAGTTGCATTATTTTGGATTTCCACCAGGTAACTTGGGGAGGAGAACCTAACAGTAGGCTCACAGATATAAGACAGAAAAGGTCAGGTAATTACCTCAGAGAAGTAGTTGTCTAGGAAGGCCATGTTCACACCTCCTTCTCGATACTCTTTTATTGTTCCTCCAACTGATCCTTTTACTTCCCCAGCTCCAGAAATTCCTCCAGCTGTTCCGTAACCAGTACCAGTGCCATAGCCAACCCCTGTAGTTTCTTCAACACCAGAAGCTACTACTCCTCCTCCACCATATGTGTTTGTATATATGTCTGAAAACAGAAAAAGAAAAGTTGTCCCTCCTGTGCTCTGCAAAAATTTACACAGAATTTCCCAGTTGTTTTTACAAGTAGTACAATGACACTACTGAATTTCTGAAGATATTTTAGACTGATTTCAGCCACAGATCCATGCACAGGTACAAAACATTGAAACGGCAATAAAAATTAAGTGCATATTAGCAGACTCCTAAGACCTTGATTTTATTCCTGAGGCTAGACAGCATCTGCATCATATGTGCTTTAGAAAATCGATTATTTACTTGTGTCTTTGACTAGGGAGAGATTCCTCTGTCTGGTGTACCTATATGTTGTCGTGGGATTTGCATTAGAAAATCAGATGATGCTTATGCATATTTATGCAAATAAATAAATGCATATTTATGATCATATTAGGGTTAAAATTGTTTTGCCTTAAACTCTTCTGTAGAAGAAATAGCTTTGTAACTCTTCACATTTTCAAGTCATTAGATTGTTAAGGGGGATTTAGGAGAACAACAATGGATCATAATAATCATCAGTGTTCATAATGCAGAATGAAAATGGCCTTTATAATAAATTATAGTCATACTTACAGGATTTTATCTTTTCCAGATATTTTCATATATTATAACAAGGTTTTTGGTCTTAAATATCAGCATTTAGAACAATAAACCAATTGCATACAGTAGTCTTTACTATGATTGCATTAAGAAACATAGGCTAAACTACATTTTTTTCCCATTTAATCTTGGTAGTCTCAGTTTATAGATTTTGAATCAGGGGCTTTCACCATAATGGTACTGAGCAGTGGAAATAAAGCAGATCACATGTGTGAGTCTTAAACTTTTCAGCTGTCATAGCAGCAGAACTTCCCTGAGAATGAAGACTCTTAATTCACATTTGTGCCCCAAAATGTTCTCTCTTGATTTTGCCTTAAGGCAAAACATTTTTTAATAATCAATAGTCATCAGAGAAGTTGTCTTGCAGAGTGGCATTTCTTCCTGTCAGAAGCTAGTGAAAATGGATCTGTGCCAGCATCCTTCCTTCCTGGTGTGGAGTAAGGAATGGGGAAAAAAAGAAAGCAGCACTGCATAGCTTGACTGATCTCTATGGACATCGAACTCCTGGGAGAACATAATCTCAGAAGCATAAATTTATTGTGTTATGTACCAGCTTTCTGTCTAAGCTAGTGCACAAATGGTCAGTAACTAACTGGCTACTTGACAGGTCCTATTCTCCCTTGTGGGTAAGCGGGAAACTGGGAAGAACTGAACCTTTCACCATTGAGTTATGAAAGAGTATTTCCTTATTCTGGCCTTAAGGCTGATTTCTACTAAAAGTAGTGTCTTGAAAAGACCCTCCATTCACTAGCTGGAATGATAAAGAAAAATTGCCTGAGATTCAAAAGCCTTGGCAGATATTTCAAAATAAATATAGTTTGCAGAAATCAATCTGCTCAAAGTCTTGAATCTCAGATCCTTTATTCATAGTTGAAGTCCTACTAGCATTCGTTTGGCTATCTACAAATGTAAGATTGAAAGGCTTGGGTTATAGTTGCGATGCCAAAGGGCTCCTTGAATCGGAAGACATGAAGTTCTGAAAGATAGCTTTATGACAGTGCTCAAAGAAAATTGTAGGATCTGCTTACCTGAGGGTTCACCAAAATCACCTCCTGCAGCTGTTGTTGGGGCAAGAATGTGTGAAACATCCTGGAAAACAACATATTGACTCATTGAATGATGACTTTGAAATTCCCGTATAAATTTTTTTCATTGTCTGTGTAAAAGGTGATGAATGAAGATGTTTTGTGTTACCTTGTTCTACTTTGCACTGAAAAAGCTTGCTAGCTATTGAGTTTCTGCTGAGGGAATGGTAACACCAATCTGTTGGGCCACGCTAACCAAACACAACTTAAAATACACAAACTCCATCTGCAGATGTTAAGAATCACCTTTCATATCTGCCTGGCAATCGTTTACAATGCCAGGCTTCTTTTAGAAGATGATGCAGGATTACACTTTCATGCTTCTAGTCAAATGCAGTCTTTTATGTAAATGTGAGTTACTGCTGATTTTAGAAACATGGGATGTACTGACCCTGTCTTCAGGCTGTGCACCTTCTATTCCCCATGGATGAATTGCCCCTTCTGTGCATTCAGGTACAGGTTCAAATCCAGTTCCAACTCCACCTGCAGCACCAGGTCCACATCCACAACAGTCGCTCACAGACATCAAAATCGGAATCACTTAACAGGAAAAAAAAACAGGAAACAAGGATTTAGGACATCTCTTTGTCACAGGAATAGCTACTTTTCCCAGAGGGCAGGTGTTCAAGACCTTTTGAGACTGTCTTTTGAAATGTTTCAAACCTAAAAGTCTGCAAGTCTGGCTTCCAGGATCATTAACTGCTTTGAGAAAAGTATATACTTGGAAATTAAGAATAATTTGTACCTTCAGTTATAGTAGAGCAAAGAGAAGGTGGAGTTGGGCTGTGACTCCAAATTTATGCCTATACACCTGGGAACAGACTTTGATCTATCTCAGCTAAACGAATGTAAGTTGCATACATACGAAAATTAAACAAACAGAACCAGTCTTACTCTGTATAGCATTCAGTTATATTCATTCTTGACATACACATAAATTTGTCTCTTCAGATACAATAATTGAAGAGAAATATGTGTTAGTAATAATAGAAATATATGAATCAGTGGACAGATATCCATCTGGCTACAGTGTTCTTTGGCTAAGGCTCCAGTTGCATTTCTCACATATATACATAATGCTTGATTTGAAAAACTAGAGAGGGAAACCTGAAACCTCAGTTTTAACGTATGATTACAGAGAGTGACTCATGTTTCCCAGTGTGCTGTATTATTCTTAGTTTTTTCAAGAACTCAGTGTTGGAAATTGCTGCATGCTTTAAACAGCAACTTTAAAAACACTACTCATTTTAGAAAGGCACTGCAATATTAATTTTGGCTGTCTTTAGGTCTTAAAGGCTGTCTTAAACTAGATTACTAATTTAGTAACCTTGTGTCATTGCAGAGGGAGTGGAGAGGGACATTTGCCTACACCAGACTAAGCAGAGCATCTGAAACTCTCAGTTTGACATCAAAGTGAACTGAAGAGAAAAGGGGAAAGGGCTATACAGTGTACAAAGTGCTACCTCACACTGCACGACTAAGGACATATTTAGTTCAGACTGTAAACTAGGAGAGGAGATTTCCAAAGGCAGAAAAAGACAGTCTTTCCTGTACCATTAACCACCCAGGAACTACAAACAAAACAGCCTTTTGCAGCCTCAAAAGTTCATGTCTGTTGTTTCCTACTAATCAAGGATCAAAACCCAAAATAAATCCCCCTCAAAAAATCAAGGGAAAAATCCATTTCCTCTGTTTTTGTAGTCAGTATTTCTACACTGGGAAATTTTAGATGTTTACTTGATGCCCAGGCCATGAAAGAAAGTCTAATTTGATACATTCTTATTTCTTCAAAAATACTAGGACATATGAATGAATGATCTGTTTTTATCCTGTTATCACAGATGCTACTTGTTTTTAATAGATGTAATGTTTGACAGCAACAGCCAAAAGGTTCACAATTTAAAAGGATTATATTTATTGTTCTACTACTGAAATTTGGCTTTGCGTTCAAAGGAAGCTTGTTCTTTATATCTTTTCATATGCAACTTGGAGCTGATACTTGTCCATTTCTTTTAGTAATGGTCTGAGAAACACTTTAGGAAAAAAAAACCCCTAAGTCTCAGGAAGGAAATAGTTATTTCTGAATAAAATATGTAGAATATAAAATATATAGAAATTCTTATAATTTAAAAGACATATTTTTCTCAGTCAAATGGCCTATGGGAGCCAAAAGCTTAACAGCCAACTAGAAAAGACATCTTATTTTAGAAGAATAAAAAAATACACTTTTTAGAAAATTGATAAAATTGTGTTCGTAATTCTGTACTTACAAACAAATATTAATCCACCAAGAAACATCAGGCCAATGGCAGCGCTGCTAAGTGTGGTAGAAGATGGGAAAGCTCTGCCATAATTTCCATTTCCATTATAACCACCATAATCAGTGGCTGTGCTAAATCCGCCATTACTGTCACTGTATGCACCAGTGTAATCCTGCCATTCTGTGTGGTCCTCACTTCCACCTCCTCCAGGTCTAGTCTCACCAGTGCCACCACCTTCTTGTCCTGTTCCTCCTCCACCTTCTTGTCCTGTTCCTCCTCCACCTTCCTGGCCTGTCTCACCACCTCCACCACCACCTACAGCACCACCACCACTGCCACTGCTGCCACCGCCACCGATGATAATTATTTTCGTGGCCCCACTGGTGCAGTAATTACGACTATCACACTGACAAGCTTGCACAGGAATTATATGTGGTCTAGAGCACCGTCGGCCTTGGTTATCTCTTACACTGACATAAATCCTATAAACGAAAAAGTCCATTTTCTGATTCACAAGTTCTGCAGAGGAAGCTTTGGGAAAAAAAAAAAAAAGAAAAATATTTAGGTTAAGGTATTGACTAGAAATACTGTACAAGTCTGTAATTTTTGTGAGTAATGTTCATAGAAAAGAATGAAGACCAAGTGTTGCCATTCTAAGATCTTCAGTTACCTATTTATCTACAGTACTTATTTAAAGCTGAAACTTATGGTACTCATTTGTGCTGGATTTTTCTTTTGGAAAACCTGAGCCAGATCTGTCTAGTCATCACTTTTTAAATTGAGAAATATAAAAGAGGCAAATGCATATTTTTTATATCTACTGCTGCTTTGCCTGGTTTTTATTAGCACAATGGTGAACATAAGAATTGCAAGTTTTAGACGTTTGGGTTTTTTTTCTCTCACAAGGAATTTACATAGGTTTTCCAAAAGATTTTTTCAGTAGTTTTGAAATATTGAGAAAGTTACACATTTGCATATGTTTAGGATAAATAGGAGACAGGAGAGTAGTTGTAATTGTTATATTTGCCATTTAATATAGTCTTCTATGCATAAAGAAAGTTATGTAAATTCTCTCATTTAGTAATGTATGAGATTTTATTAATTAGTTAGTTTGCTATGCCCTATTGGAGGAAACTGGAAAAGCTCCACTGGGCACTGACTAAAGCATTATTCTTAGAAATACAAGTAAGTACAATTTGTACAATAAGTTGCAAAAGGTGTAATATTTACCATTTTCATATGCCTCATAAAAGTAAAGCTCTACCAACTATTAACTTTATACTCTAATTTTTTTTAGGTAATATAAAAAGTATAAAGTCTCAAATAAATCC